ATATTCAGTTAACGTATGATTCGATTAGTCGACTAATCGAATAAATAATCGGTGATTAATCGATTATTAGAATAATCGTTTGTGGCAGCCCTAATCCTGGATGAGCTGAATGTTTTTTTTTGTTTGTTTGTTTTTGGGTTTTTTTTTGGGAAAAATGCTCAAAGATACGAGGAAAAACAACAGAACCAATTTGAGCTGCTGATAAAAAAGTAAAATGTTCCTTGGCCCAGAGAACAGAGCAACAAAACGTAGACTGCAGACAACAGAGGGTCACCAGAAATAACCCCAACAATGACAGCTTTCATGTTTATAGTTGCATAGAAACCAAATTGTTATGAACAGGAACAGCTGCTCCCCACAAAGAATAAACAAACTTCTCTTTATTGGGTGACTCATGCTTGGAGCTTTACAGTCCAGTTATTCTGAACAGAAAGTCCAAATATATCACGAGATCCACGAAGACCAAAACTTTTCAAAAATGATTTTCGAACCATCGGTGGCCAGACAGAGATCACTGGGTCATTGTGCATCTGCAGAGCTTTTCCTGAGTGAAACTAGAAAAAAAGCAAATCACAAAACCAGAGACAAAAAGGAGCGACAGGAGATGGCTGCAGATAGCAGGCGTCAACGTTTCATCAGCAGTCGAGGTGCGAGTGGACGAGCTGCCTGAAACGAGAGGGCCTTCGTGCAGCGTTCAATAAGAGAGCGTGATTGTTTGATGTTAGGTCACCGCTATGAACAGGAAAAGAATCAGTGAGTCACTTCAGGTTATGAGGCCAAGCTGTACGACGTGTGTGTGCAGAGTACAGGCTGAAATACAGGATGTAGCACGTTTCAAAAGCAGCAACAAGAAAGAAAAGGAAACGCCTCGTCACAGTAGGTGGTTTGCCATGTGCTCAATCTTTTGTGGGTTTGCTCTTGTTTGATAACAAACTCAGATCTGTAAGCCTGCACCAGTCCCATCCTCAAAACTGCTCTGAACAGAACACGTTTAATAGTATTTTTCAAAATAAAAGCTCAATTTAGCTTCACAAATCCAGCTGTCAGTGTAGGAGTCCATCCATCCATCCATTTTCTGTACACACTTCTTCCTTTTCAGGGTTGCGTGGGTCACTGGTGCCCATATCCAGCAGTCACAGTGCGAGGGGCGGGGTACACCCTGGTCATACACTGTAAAAAATGAAACGTTGGGTTTACTTAACCATGTTATGTTACCTGGTTCCACTTAACTGAGTTGAGTAAATTCAAAGCAATATATACCAGTTTTTTAGCCAAAGAACATGAATATGTTGCTTTGAATTTACTTAACTCAGTTAAGTGGAACCAGATAACATAACATGGTTAAGTAAATCCAACATTTCATTTTTAGAGTGTAGATGACTCGAGCATACTCTCCTTTTTTTGGCTCATGACCACCACAACACGACAAACAGAACTTTACATCCTTCCTGCAAGAGGAAGCCTTTGTTCGTCGGCTTGTTCGGCTGCGTATTTCAAGCAGAACACTTTTATGAGCTTTTATTTAACTAAACACTTTTTGTCTCATATAGAAGAAATCCAAATTGGTTCATGCAAAACATGATGCAAAAATGAGTTAAAGGGATCCACGATTAGTTGTAACATTAGACTTTATTTGATAAACATTTATTTTAACTGTAAAATAAAGACTGTAAAAATACTGTAGGTTGTTCAGTTTTTATAATTTTAAAACTAAATTTTAAAAAATATATTATAAGTACCGAGCCATTTTATTTACACACAAAGCATTCTGGGTAAATGATGACGTGGATAGGTC